GAAGCCATCAGTCAGTTCCAAGGAAAAGGTAATTGCCCAAGGGACCTACAGGCTATATGCTGGTCATCCCTCTGCTGAGGGGACTCTGAGCAGGCTGTTTGGGGGCTAAGGGCATATTTCACTGAGTCCAACATCTGCTGGGTCACAAGAAGGTAATATTGAAGACAGACTGCTTCAGAGGAGGGTGTGTGGTCTCTGAGGACACTGATCAGCAGATGGCCACTCCCATGTCTGCCTGTGTTCAGTTACGGGAAGGAAGCTGATTGTTTACTGAAAAGATGAAACTGGAAGTATTCACAGGCTTACAGGAGACAGCATAACACTGGCTATTTCTCAGAATCCACGTTTCGCTGACAGAGCGCACTTGAGCTTTGCACTTTTCTGAAACTCACACTGCTGTGATTCATAAGGCATTGGAAGGAAAGAGGAGAAGGTCTTGAGGAGAGGTGGGAAAGGAGCCGCTAGATGGTGATGTTTATTTAAACAGAATAATGAACAACGCTCGAGGCCTCGATTGCTTTGTTGGGCTTTCTAAGCCTGTGAAAAGGGGAAAGAGAAGATCAGACTATGCTAAAAAATATTGGTAAGTAATGACAGTAGGATAAAATCGAGAGCTATAAACCACACTTCTATGTAAAGAGCAATGTTTTGACAGTAGTATCTTGGATTTCACTTTATGTTATTCTGTATCCTAGGGCCAGGCATGGTAATGGATGAGCACAGCCAGTTGATCCCCATCAATAAAGATGCCTATGAAGTTCTTAAGAAAAGAGAGGACTGTCTAAGTAATCTCATTTACAAAAAGTTTGCTTGTACATTGACCTTCGAAAGTACAAAGCGCACTGCTGAGGTATACAGGAAAAAACTGAAGTATGGAATTGACATTTGTGTTTGTAAGGATGATCTCACAAGACACAGGGTCGATGCTTTGGTGAACGCAGCCAATGAATGTCTAGATCATGCAGGAGGCCTTGCTTTAGCCCTTGCAAATGCTGGAGGGCCAGAAATACAAGAGCAAAGCAATCTTTTTATTCAAAGGCATGGATTACTCAGAGCTGGCAAAATAGCTGTGACAGATGGAGGGAGGCTTCCTTGTAAGAAAATTATTCATGCAGTTGGCCCAAAGTGGACCGCTTATGAAGGGGAAAGATGTTGTGAAGTACTTCAGGAAGCTATTGTGAATGTCCTGAAGTACGTTAGTGCTCCAGAAAATGATATAAAGTCTGTGGCTATCCCAGCAGTGAGTTCAGGTATTTTTGGCTTCCCACTCAGTTTGTGTGCTCAAATGATTGTAATGGCTATAAAGAGGTTTGTTGAGTCAAGTCCACCAAGCTGTCTCAGAGAAATCCGCCTGGTGAACATTCATGAGCCAACAGTTGCAGAAATGAAGAAGGCCTGTGAAAACCTTCTGGATGATACCAGTTCACTCCAAGGAACTCTTTCCGCTTCACCAAGCCAGTGTTCAGCTTACATCAAACTTGGAGGCATTCGCTTGTGCATTGTAAGAGGACTCATTGAAGAGCAGAAGGTAAGTCTGTCCTGTAATATGTTGAACATGGAGTTGCGTCCAAGTCTTTGCAGAAATCGAAGTTCAAGAGTTCAGAATACATACTGTATCAGTCCACTAAATAGTTATCTTCTCACCTGATGAGAATGTACAAATAGTAAATAAATTATAGTGGCAAGGAATTGTGGGTTTTTTTTCTAAATGGATATTAAACATTAGAATTTTTTTTTTATGCATGTTGTTATGAGATAATAGGAAGCAGCTAAAGATTGGATGATTAATAATAATAGATCCCTCTGTTAATGTTTATCTTCTTATTATAACTTAATGGGAGTTCACATTTTATCATGCGTTCTCTAGAAGTCTCTTATTTTTTGCCTTGCTTTCTTTCCTCTAATTTATGTTCTCATAGGTGTCACTACTGGAGTTATTCAGTAAACACGGAAACAGCTGAAAATAACTTACACAGACAATGTGCACCTTACCTTTAAAACAGTGCATCATTTAAATTGAGTCATCTAACTTTTTAGCTAGAGGATCTGATGCAAAATATATGAGCTTAGTCACAGTAATCCAACAGAGCTCTTTGACTGGAAGCTACATCACAGAAATAGCATTTGCTTTTAGCAAATACTGTATCTTAAAAACATTCATAACTTTTATTTTAAAGAAGTATCTTAAAGTGAATAGGAAGTTAATTTTTTTGAGGTGAGAGCGAAGGATTGCAAAGTTGACATTGTGGGGAATTTTATTAACCATTTCTACAGCACTGAAAGATAACACATGCCCTCAAGACTATGGAAAATATGGTCCAAAGTCTTGTATCTTTAGGTAATTTTCAACAATTAAAGTTAGAAAAATTACTGCCGTTAGGAGCATTCTGTAAACAAATGTTTGGCGTTTTACATATTTAACTTGAAATACAGAAGACCTACTATAGGAATCTGCTGTTTCCACTGGGAATTGGAAGCAACCATAGCTTTGCACTTCTCCCATGTGCACTGACCCGCAAGTTTGGTGATGAGTGCTTGCTGCCCTAGCACGGGGAGCATCTGTGTGAGCTGCAGTAGCAGACATAGCCATGGTTCTCTCCTGCTCATTGGTAACTGGCTACAGAATTGCATTTGATGAGGCGCATATGGGTCACTTCTGTAGCTGCGGTAATAATTTTGTTGTCTTCTGAAAAAAAAGTATGCATTTACTGCCACTAGAAGGTGCATTCTTTGTTGTATTCCAGCGCTGCCCTTAGTAGTAGTAAGAGACCCTTTCAAACAGCTGGTCTGCTGCAGTCAGACTTTTTTAAAGGAATTGTTCCTAGAAAGAGTGCTCTCTATAGTAGAAAAGCTTGCACATAGTGAACTTGAAGTACGCTGAAACTTTGCACTCTTTTCTTCCAGACTACAGCTATTGTTAATTCTATGTCTGTGAGTGGTGATCCTTACTCTCCAGTTTCAAAACAACTGCTGCAAAAAGCGGGTTCAGCTCTTCAGGATGAACTTCGGTCTCACCTTTCTTCGTCTTACAAGGAACTCATAGTAACAAAAGGGTGTAATCTGCCCTGTGAGTTTGTACTGCACATTGTATGGCCGACATACCACAGCGTGTCACCGTGTGAGGTAACGATCAGTTAGACTGGATTTTAATGGATTTTCCTGTTAAATGACGTGAGGACTAAAACACTTGCTTTTCCTGCAGGAACTAAGAGCTGCAGTGAGACAATGCCTGCGTTGCTTAATGGAGCGGCAATCTCCCTCAGTTTCTTTTGCAGCAAATGGGATTTGGATGTTAATGATACCTGTTGATAAAGTGGCAGAGATCATGATTGAAGAGGTTTTGAATTTTGCCAGGGCACACCCTCAGACGAAGATAGATGTTCAGTTTTTCTTTTGCCCAGATGATGACGATGCCTATCAGGTAACAAATTTGTTGTTAACTACCAATAAGGAAAACCCGAAACTGTAAAAATATTCCCATAAATAACTACAAATTAAGATAATCTGAATTCTACACTACTTACAACATTTGTGAGCAGCAGGTCCCTTTATGAAACTCTTTATCTCTTTAACCGGTATTATTAATCCTTACAAATCTTTATTTTCTCTTCACTAAATCAGAAGTCTTCACCCCTGTGGTGTGACAGCGAGGCTCTGACATTCTCATGACTGTCAGCGAATCTATAAGAAAGAGTTCATTAACTATTTTTTTTTGTATGAGGTTCCTAGGGCAAAACACTATCAACACATTATATGTCCTAATGTGATAGAAGGGTTGCAAACAGACACTGGATAATTTCAACTGCAGTGTGCCATTTTCCACCTTCGGAATATTTGGCCAATGTGATTAATACACAACTATTTTAGATAGACATCTATTATAAAAGTACAGTTTCTGCTTTTGTTCCCATTTAACTTCAGCCATCCATTCTTTCAACAGGTGCAAGAACTCACCTCAGGAGAGGGGTTGGAACTAGTATGATCTCTAAGATCCCTTCCAACCCAAACCATTCTGTGATTCTAAGATTAGATCCATGTTCTCTAACAGTCCCACAAACTCTAAAGGAAGCTGTGTGACAGCTCTGTGCTCATCGCTTAATCCCTTAATAATCAGGACACAGCAGAAACACTTTTTGCTGAAAAAAGAAGGAAAGGCAATTTGCCAGATGGCATATCCACTGCCCAGCAGAGTAGTGCTTCTCAGACGCTTTCCATGTGTGATCATGAAGAGGAGCTTGAGAGTAAAGGCAGGGGAATAGTCTGAGTTTTCAAACTGAGTAAGGATTCATCAGCAGTAAACTGCAAGTAATGAAAACCTTTATCTGCTGTGGTTCCATGAGTTCCAGATATGCTACAACCACAAGGAGTTGGTAAAGGTGCCGTTTAGTGTATAAGGTGTCTTAGGAAATGTAGAAGAATAGGAATGCGTTTGATATTGTCAGGAATAAAATTTTGGGAAAAGCTGACAAATGTCAGCTGTTAACAATTGCAGAATTTGGAGGGTGGAACTACAGCTGTAAACTGCTTATCTAACAGTTTTGAAGAGATGAACTGTGTATTTGACAACAGAGATTGCAAACTGCTCCTGAACTTTTATCTTTCAAGGTTTTCCAGAGAAAATTTTATTCAGCAGCACAAGAACTGGGAAAAAAGCAATGTTATGACAGAAGTGATCATTTGAGTAAGTAATGAACAGAAGGGGCATTTCAAGTAAATGAGCACTCTAGATTTGAGAATCTGGAATCATATTCCTTTAAAAAAACCTTAGTATTTACATATGTGTCTTGGGGAAAAGGAGAGGCACAAATGTGTGAGTGCTTTGTATTTTTACATTTATAGGAGTGGAACTGGGCAGTCCCTTATAAGGTTTTCAAACATAAAAATCATCTGTGCCTAACTTGTTGGAGGTCATTTAGTGGAAGGCAAATAAATTCTGCATGTGTGGGTTGTTTTTTTTCCTGGAAACCTTACCTCCTGGTATCTAGTCTCTTTTTCTTTGAGCATACCAGAAGAGTAGTGTGTTTCTTGCACTGTATGTCTTGGATTACATACAGAAATTTGTGACAGCACCTGAACACGTTTCACTCTTCCAATGCACTTGTATTAAAAAAAAAAAAAAATCTTTCTTCCAGGTACAGAGTCAGGCAGTCACAGTATAAAAGAGACTGCAAATAGTGAACCAGCTATTGAACTTAAAGGGACCACACATACAGCAGTGGAAGCAGCAGAATCGTGGATCCAAAACATGCTACAAATTCAGGAAAGTTGCTGTGCTGTTATTGAAAACAACTACATTTTTAGCCTCGGTAAAAATGAGTTTGCAGAACTATCTCAAGAGCAGCATTCTAGCGTACGTGTATCAGAAGAAGTGCGAGGTGGAAAAGCAAGACTGGAGTTTAAGGGCCCCGCTGCTGCTGTGATTGATGCAGTGCTCACAACTGAAAAACTGCTGCTTCGTATGCAAGAGAAGACTACGGCCGAACAAGAGGAACTGCTGTACTTAATGGGTATGTAAGGTAAATAAGTGACTAATGAAGTAAATAAGTGCCTAAATAAGGCCAAGGATGAAGCAACATATATCTGTGTGTTGCTGAGAGTGGACAGACATGCATTCAGTTCACAGACATACTAAGCATTGCTTTGATCAACGGTATTGCTCTGCTTCTATCATATGAGCCCCTGAAAGAGCATTTGTTAGCTTTGGTTACTCACTTGGTAGTATTCCCAGTAGGGCACAGTTTATACAGGGTCTGGCCATCGTTGTATATGAAAGTTATATGAAAGTTGGGCTGTGGAACGATGCATTGGAGAAGATAAATTGCTTTTCTGTGATTCCCTCTCTATCTAGTTTCTTTAATAAATGTAGCAAAAATGAATAAATTAATATATCTGTATCAATCCCTCTCAATATTAGCCTCTGGCATTAAATTGGAGAATATTCAACGTTCCTTGTTCTTAACTAAACTATCTAACTAACGAAACTAAAGAATTTGATCTTTCTTCCTTGCCTTTGCTTCAGATATTATGATAGATGAAAATTTACTTCCTCATTTGTATCCAGGCCAACCAGAAGCAGGTCAGCTTTCAGAAGGACACCTTCACAGGACAAATACTACTAAATGCATCCAGATATCGCTGGTGGAATCACACCTTCAGGAGTTTAAAGACAGACAGAAACAGTTTGAAAAAGCTGGGCTTTGTGTTCTCAAGGTAAAGAGAGTATTCATGGAAAAACTAAATCTCAGCTGATATAGTTGAACTAACATGTTTAACGTGCTTGAAAAACTCAGGTGAACTATTTTAATCTGTTGCTTTTAAAAATTAAGATAAATCAGCCTCATCCTTAAAACAGATGTAGTCTGTTATAGATGTAATAAAAAGTACTTTAAACATAATGCAAATAATCACTCGAAAAGTGTGTTAAATTCTGAGAAGTCCTTTTAACTGTACTGTATATTCTGACTCTGATTTTGTGCTCCAAATGTTCCTTTGTAGGACTCTAGAGAAATACGAGATTGGTATGTTAGAATGAGTACAATATTCCAGGACACTAATGCAGTGTCTCTGTTTTCTTCTTGTGAGCTCGATATCAAAAATTAGCAACTGAATTTGTCAGTTATGATCTGATTAGTAGTGCGTTGAAGTTGGGATCTTGCTTGGATATTAGTGCCTTAGTGAATGGGAGGAGGATGAGGCTGTGCAACACAGAGGAATACAGAAGTTTGTGAACAGGGATTTGTGCGCCTCGAAGTAACAGCGGGTGACTGGAAACAGGACTGCCACGTACCTAACGGCCTTTCACAGGGGAAAGGTATTTACCTCTGAAATAAATACCAACCCCAGTGAAAGCAAGTGCTTTTTGATCTGCAGAGCTGAAGACTCTGTTGAGGCTCAACACAAAAGCTCCATCAGAATATAAACCAGTGCTGCACTGAGGATCAGTCGTAGCTCAGTTAAGTGGCTTTTAGCAGACCAAAAGCTTGATGTGCTTTAGCGCCTGCGTGTTTTTAGCTGAGCAGTCAAAAGTCTGGCATGAGCAGGATGCTGGAGAAGAGGCCTTGCAGGCCTCTGGTACTGACTTTTGCCATGAGACTGTGACTGGCCCACTGGTCGAGTCAGGTACGGGAGTGAGAGCCACAGTGTAGCCAATTCACCTCAAGTTCTGTGCAGTGTTGTGCTGCGTGCAGCCATGCTTTCGAGACACAAGCTAACGTAAAGGCCAGCTTATCTATGGATCTTTATTTCCCCAAGAGATGTAACGTTTTGATCAATGAGAGCCAAGCTTCCCTCAACTTCTTTACAAGATGAGGCTGTAAGCACCCAGTTTATTCTCACCTATATACTCGATCTGTTCAGCACAACTCAAGTACTGGAAATCAGCACACTAGAATATATTCCCACTGATTTCAATGAGAGGCATGGGACAGCAACATGATTCTTCTTCTGTGCATGAGCTTCACATATCTTATCTGCTACATGGTCAATGCGTGTAACGTAAATCCAAGGTTCTTACACTGAAGGACATAGCCTGAACAAGAAGAGCACACATGGATTTCTTGGATATTGGTCTCCGTTTGCTTATACTACACTATTATTTATGTTACAGATTGAAAAGATACATAATCCCCTTTTATCTGCTGCATTCCAACAAATGAAAAAAAAAATAGAGGAAAAACAATGTAGCTCCAGAATAACCCACAAGTTGTACCAGTGTGTTCCTGCTCAGTTCTGTATCTCGGTGTGCCAAACTGGATTCCACAGGATGTATTCTCCACCAACAGGTAACAACTTGCTTTGGCATCTTTAATCAAAATCAGTAGTGACTATCTACTAAATTGGATTAAAATAAGAAAAAACGGTATTCCTAAACAGGAACTGTTTTTCACCCGTCGTTAGTCACATGAGCTTACTTTATCTACAGCAAGATTTTCCTGTTTTCTTTTTCCTTCCTGATGTATTGCAGAGTCAGTAATGCTCTGGGAAGATAAGCCTGAATTCTAGCCTAGCCCCGACACTGTTGACGGAATTGTTAATATACACATAACGCCATGTCCAAGTTTTATTTTGTTGATCGCTTTTTAAAGAAAGCCAGCGTCCTTATTTGCTGGCTGCAAGCATGCATTCAGCAGCTCGATGCTTTAAAGCACATTCGAAAGAATCACAGAGTAATTGAGGCCGGAAGGTACTTCCGAAGGTCGGCTAGCCTAAGCCCCCGCTCAAATCAGGTGCGATCGGAGCCAGCAGATAATCTGACTGAGCAGACTGCCATTAGAACCAGAGCACGCTTAGGAAGAAAGTTGTGATGTCTGTGAAATATTGTAGCAGACATGTTTTTAGAAATGGAAAGAATAAGCATTTAGTGCCTCATCGGGCAATAGGGCAAGGGCGTGATATTTTGCTTGTCAAATGTAGAAATGGGATTTCAGGCAATAAACTGCTCATGGAGACTTGCCTTTCCTTGTCTATGCAGTGTATACGGTGTGTTTTTACACTTCCAAAGTAATAAATAGGATGATGGTCTAATTTAATTTCTTTGCACTTTTTCATGTGATTCTTTAATAGCATTTTTATGCAGCATTCTCTTTATAAATCTCAAAGCTTTTTTTTTTTTTGTAGTTTGCATTATTAAAATCTTACCTTCTTTGGTGCTTATCAGAGTCCCTAGTACATGATGACTGAAGTGTTTATATAAATACATTGTACCTTGATGTTTCTGTCACTGGATTAACAGTTAAATCTGAACAGTCATCACTGGAGTAGCAGTTAAATCAGAATGGCCATCAGCTGTCACTGCTCATGATTTCAATGGGATGTCAGTGCTGGCATGAGAGCCACTTAATCATAGAATCATAGAATGGCATAGGCTGGAAGGGACCTCAGAGATCATCTAATCCAACCTCCCTGTCATGGGCAGGGACGCCTCCCAACTAGACCAGGCTACTCAAGGCTCCATCCAGCCTGGCCTTGAACACCTTAATGCAAGTTTACACCCAGAAGGATAGCACACATTGAGCAGTAACATCAAATGTAACACTGAATTAAGAAGCCGTCTCTTAGTACTACCACCCCAAAAGAACCAATTGTTAAAGGCTTTTTTTTTCCTTCTGAAAATTTTTCTTTCTTTTCCAGAACAAAAATATGGAGCTGGCATCTACTTTAAAAGGAACCTGAAAAGCCTAATAGAGGATAAAGATACAGGGGAAACAGACCCTAAAATGTATGTGTTTGAGGCTGATGTATTAACAGGCTTGTACACTAAAGGTAACCCATTTTACATTATGCCACCAGCAGTGAAGGGGGATGCGATTAGGCGATACGACAGCTTAGTAGATGACGTAAACAATCCTGACACCTTTGTCATTTGCAACAGTTTTGGGGCTCTTCCACAATATTTGCTGACTTGTTCCCAAGTGAGAGAGAGAGGTATATGGCCCTCTGAGGAAATCAGCAGCATCCTGAGTGACAATTAATTAGAACTGTGGCTATTGGGAAGACCCCTCAGAACAAAGTCAAGTGCTTAAGGTTTTTAAGAGGATGCTCTACCTAGTAACATGCTGTGATCAAAGTGCCTCATGCAAAGTGCTCCGAAATATCCATAAACAAAAAAAAGTAAGTCAGTGCCTTAAGGAGAATAGAACAAAATTATCTGTGAATGGAAACAGAAGAGAAAGCATCACAAAATACAGTTTAACATTTATCTGGTCACTTACTTTATGCCTTAAAGTCTTCTGAGCATGTGACTACACACTTAATGTTTATGTAGGTTGTCATTCTTCTATTACATTTTCTCAATCTGAGATATTGCCTATATTAGCGAAATCCAAGAAATTTTGGCTGTGCCTTTGATTCTTAACTTTTCTTTTGACTTAAATAGGTGAATGTATCAGGTGAAAGCTGTTTCCCACTCAGTGACATGCTATTAAATACACATAGTTGTAGCAGATGTGAGGCAATGCTTCATGATTTCTACAGTAGTTGCTCTTACAGTTTTTATTAATTAAGAGATTCTGAGCATTGTAGACACATGTATTCAAAATAAAAAGTATGAATGACACTGCCAACTAACCTGTTATTTTTCCATATAGTCTTAAGAACATGACTTGGACTGTATTTGAGGTTCAGATTTCTCTGGTGTTCAATCTCTTTGAAAGGCTACAAAATAGTAGAGAAGTGGTTCAAGCTAAAGCTTGAAATTGCTCTTCAATTAATCTACCTTTACCAGTATCTTTTAAAGATATCTCTATATTGCTTCTGTACTGACCTGAAGCCAGCAAACGAAAAAGCCTAAGAGCTGTTACACTCATTTCAATGTAAAAGGGGACTCAGTCCAGATCTCAGGTACTTTGAAACTTTCTGTACTAAAGCCTGAAGCTATGTCTGATGTTAGCGGGGTTTAAAACAAATCTACTGCCCCAAACTAAAAGTTACTACCAGATTTGTCCAACTGAAGCATTTGAAACCATCACTTACTTGGTGGTCAAAACTGTACTTATCTGGGGAGAAGAGCTCGTATAAAACCATTAAAAACCAACAACATTGTCATATGAAAAGCATTTCATCCACACATGAAGCGGTGTGCTAACAGAGAGCAGTCTGAGCCCTAAAACATAGATGAAATAGTGTTTAATAAAATTTTTCAAAACAATTTGTTAGTGAGCTCCTAGCACATTTGTACTGCACCTGCAACTGTCAAGACAGTAGTCATAGTGCCAGGAACCACTCACAAGTCCAAAAGAAATTAAGTTATAGAAGTCTGGTCATGCAGGTCAGAACTCATGAGGTAGCAGAGACATCCAAAAGCCATCAAAAGGGACTTCAGGGCACTGGGGCAATTGGTAGAAGGGTCAGGAGTGCACGTAGTGTTTTCCTCAATCCCTTTGGTGGCAGGAGAGAATAAAGAAAGGAATAGGAAAACACACCTGATTAACATATGGCTCAGAGGCTGGTGCCACCGACAGAGGTTTGGTTTCTTTTATCATGGGGAGGCTTTCACAGAACTGGGTCTGATGGCAACTGATGGATTTCAGCTGTCTCAAAGGGGGAAAAGGATTCTCAAAGGGGTTAAGGTATGCTGCAGTGTAATGTTAAATGGGCAAAACCACTCATGAACTTGTAAGAACCATCTAACACGAGTCGTCTTGTCACAGAAATCCCAAGGCTGCTCTCGGAATTAGTCTATTCCTATTTTAACTTTTCCATTTAGGCTACCAGTTATTCTATATTTCTGGCCCATTTTTCCTCTTGTTTCTCGATTTGCACATTACTGCCAGGAAAACACACAGCTGTAGATTGAAAGTTTGTTAAACGGCACTGAACAAGATTAGGCTCTTATTTCAGCTTGCTTCAAGAGGTTTCATTTTTTAAAGGAGTTTCATGGCAGGAATTATTTTTTTTTCTGTTTTCTTTTTTGAAAAAACTCAGTACAGAGTTTCTGATCTTCTGCAACAAGCATCAGTTTTCAGACAACCTTATGAAATTTTTTTTTGGCACAATATAACATTGTCTACTGAGAATAAAGAACAGTTTTCATAGGGCTGTATTATTTTAATATTGTTACACAAGTACTGGTAACAATGTGTTTCATTAATAACCTTTTAATTAACTTCGTAATGCTTCTTAACTGCATCTAAAAAACTTGGTAGTCAGTTTAATAGAAAAAATATTTACTCAGAAAATTTTAACAGCTTACTCAAATGCCCAGCACATGCTTCCTCCTCCCTCCACATACACCCGCAGTTTATAAGGATTCAGTTTTACTGAATATTTATCTTGCATTTTATTACAGTGAGATTTTTTTCTAGTATATAATTTCTACTTAAATTTACCTCTGTGCTCTCTGCACTTAGTGATATAATATACATTCTCTATATATTTAAAAAAAAACACCTGGTAATGTAAGAGGTTGTATATAATTATTTTCATCTGGTCCTCAAAAAGAATAATTTCATATACAGAAACTAGAAAATAAACCCAGCACAAGGTAAATGTACCAAGTAATACATATTAAAATAATTACCACAGTCGTTGAAAACTCCTGATCTTAGTCCTACAATAATGGGTTAACTAGAGGTTACTCCACGGCCTCTGGGATTTCTCTGTCATCCACAATAAGGGTGTGAATAATTCCTTCCTTTCGTTTTCCACTACTCACAGCCTTAATGTAACAGCTGTGATCACCAACACTGAAGTGAGTTTCAGTCCCATCTTCTACAAATTCACCCTGGGAGAAAGGAGACAAGAATAAAACCAGACATCTGCTATTCCAGTAAAGTGAAAGCTTGAGTGCATCAGACTGTTTCCAAGGTCAAGATCACTTGTAAGCTCTCAGCATTAGAGCAGCCGTAGGTATCTGCAACAAATACAGCACAAATGCTGAACAAAGCTGCAGAACCTCAGATACGGCTTTGTCAGGGCATCCAGGTAAAGATTTGTGGGTGCAAATCAAAACTTCACATAATCAGAAACGGTAAAGTTGGAGTTTGTGAATTAATATTGTTGATCCATGTCAGTAAAACAAAAATGAAAAAGACAGTTTCCTTGTGCATTGTGCAGTACAGCCAGTAAGTACCACACAAACCTATGCTGAAGTGGCAGTAAAATGTGAAGCATTTAGTGGTACCTTCTACAGCAGGATGAAGAGATCCCCGAGTTAACAGTTGTGTACTTTGGATACACAGCTCCTGCTGCAGGTACGTAATTTCCTGTTATGGATTTGGCCATGCATGGCTGTGTTTTTGTCACCATCACTCTAATGCAAGCACAGTTTGACTTTACGTGTACTCATAGCTTGCAAGAACATCTCCTAGTGCATTTATTACCTTATAGAAAAGAGAGAACCATCAAGAGCAGAAGTTCTGATTCACTGAGAGAGGATGTTTCTTCCACTGATTACTGAAGAAACATTTGATGAATCTTTTCATCCTATTCTCAAGTATAACAAAACTGTTGATTTTACAATTTGTACTCAGCCAGGGGATTACTTGTGGCAGCAGTAAGCACAGTGACAACTCTCTGGTGAGAAAGCACATCCTTCAAGGATGGGGAAGCCTACATAGTATATGTATTGAAAGCCATAATAAAAAACCACACTAATAGATTATGCCTTTTAGCTGTCAGTCTACTCTAAAAATTAATGCAGATGTGGCAGAAAGAGAAAAGATTTGATTTGTTCCAATGAGACTCTTAAACCCAGAGTATTAGGGACCATCTCTAGATGGAAAAAAATCGTGAGTCATAACAGACTGCATGCGTTCAACTTTCAGTCACCACTGACAAGAGCAGGTTTGGATGAGGTGGCTCTACACTCTGCCTCAAACTCAAGTCCCTCTCTCTCCCCTGAAAGTTTTCTTCCCAAAAACCCTGGACAACTGAACCAGAAGTTTTATTTTGCTTGTCTAAAAAGTGTAAACAAAGGCCCTGTTTATCCTTAAATAGCTAGATGTCAGGCATCCTAACCGGTAAGTCAGCATATGAAATACTCTGTTATAAAATCCAGCGAAGAACAGTCAGAACAGACGAATAGCCTCCTGGCTGTCTAGTTACATGCTCTTACTCTGGGGCAGAGTGAGGTAACGTGCCCCTCCGTGGCTTATTTTGCCAAGCTTTGGTTATCTAGCCATAACCTGTGAAAAGCCTTTGGAAACAATCACGTACCGCTGTTTCCATTTTTTGACCGTTGCACCACACATCCATAGTGTCCTTTTCTGTGAAGGAAAAGAGGACAAAAAGTAGAAAGAACAAGAGGTCCCCTCCCCCACCCCTAGCCAGGTAGATCTAGGAATTTAAAAAAATTTCTGTTGAATTTTACTTTCAATTCCCAAAAGAAATTCCTAATTAGCCATAGTACATGAGCTACAGGGCTTGTTCTTATGTTGTAGAGATGGGAGGCTCTATCATCAATGGGCAAACAACTTTTGCTAGGAACATACGTTTTTAGCTCTCTCTAGCCCTGGCTATTAACACTGGGTTGTTCTGAATATTGTCCAAGATGTTAAATTGAAAATCATTCTTAAACTGAAATTCTTGAAGACAGAAAAATGAAGTAATTTCTGCTGATTATTTGAGTGCTGTTTTTCCAGGTTGGTTTAACTCAAAAGCAGCATTATTTAACATCCATCAAACTGTCTGTGTTCTCAAAATCTCCTTGAAAACCCAAGTACCACTTGAAATATGAATCTTAGATTTTTTTCACTTGAAACAGAATATTCCTTTACTTCTCCCAGCACATCCTCCTTAAATTCCTTTGCTCTAGAATTCACATTAGTGACTCTGTCATCCACAGGACATCAGTAGAGAGCTGAACACTTCTTGCCTTTTAAGTAAACATAGGGACATTAAAAGTCTGTGAGGAGACTAATCTGTTTCTGGCATTAAAATTGTCTTTCTTCCCTGCCCCCCTTCATCTTAGGGCAGTTCATTCTGTCCTGAGGCTTAACAAGAAATCATGGGCCAAGATCTCTTGTCCTCAGGT